AGCATTGAGCTGATCTCCCTGTGCTCTGTGGCTGCTTCCCACTAGCTATCGGTTTTACGGTTTTACGTTTGGTAGTGTATATGTGTACGTGTCACTCTCTCACTTTGTCCCAGCTTACCCTTCCCCCTCCCCATATCCTCGAGTCCATTCTCTAGTAGGTCTGCATCTTTATTCCCGTCCTGCCCCTAGGTTCTTCATGACCATTTTTCTTTTTAATTTTTTTTTACAAACATCTACTTTTAAAAGCAGTTGTTGGGGACAGATGGTTACTAGACTTAACACGGCGACTATTTCATAATGTATGCAAATGTCAAATCACTATGTAGTATACCTGAAACTAACATAATACTGCACATTAACTATATTTCAATAAAAATTTTAATAAAATAAAGCAGTTGAAAGACATAGAAAGTGAGAGATTAAGTGGCCTAATATATACCTAAAAGAAATTAATCAGAAAAAAAAAATGTCAAGGAAATAGAGAAAAAAATATTATTTGAGGAGCTATATATGCCAGAATTAAAGATGTGTGTTCTTATGTGAAAGTACAAATAGGAGTAAGTAGGTGCATGTCTGGGAAGGTCAGAGAACACTGAAGAACAGAGCAGGTTCCAGTTCTGATTCAGTGGCCCCCTCCCTCAGGATCAAGCTTGGAGATACTATAAAGGGATGACATCAAAATGAGAAGAATTTTTTGTTCTAATTCTGTGAAAAATGCCATTGGTAATTTGATAAGGATTGCATTGAATCTGTAGATTGCTTTGGGTAGTATAGTCATTTTCACAATATTGATTCTTCCAATCCAAGAACATGGTATATCTCTCCATCTGTTTGTGCCATCTTTTATTTCTTTCATCAATATCTTATAGTTTTCTGAGTATAGGTCTTTTGCCTCCTTTGGTAGGTTTATTCCTAGGTATATGGGAGGAAGATCTAAATAGACATTTCTCCAAAGAAGACATACAGATGGTTAAAAAGCACATGAAAAGATGCTCAACATCACTAATCATTAGAGAAATGCAAATCAAAATTAAAATGAGGTATCACCTCACACTGGTCAGAATGACAATCATCAAAAAACCTACAAACAATAAACTCATCAAAAATCTACAAACAATAAATGCTGGAGAGGGTGTGGAGAAAAGGGAACCCTCCTACGCTACAGTGTACTCCTACACTGGTGCAGTCACCAGGGAGAACAGTATGGAGTTTCCTTAAAAAACTAAAACTAAAACCATATGACCCTGAAATCCCACTCCTGGGCATTTATCCAGAGAAAACCATAATTTGAAAAGATACATGTACCCCAATGTTCATTGCAGCACTATGTACAATAGCCAGGACATGGAAGCAACCTAAATGTCCATCAACAGAGGAATGGATAAAGAAGATGTCGTACATATATACAGTACAATGGAATATTACTCAGCCATAAAAAAGAACAAAATAATGCCATTCGCAGCAACATGGATGGACCTAAAGATTGTCATACTGAGTGAAGTCAGACAGAGGAAGGCCAATATCATATGATATCACTTATATGTGGAATCTAAACAAAAAGGCTACAAATGAACTTATCTATAAAACAGAAACAGAGTTACAGATGTAGAAAATAAACTTATGGCTACCCTGGGAAGGGTAAATTGGAAGACTGGGATTGACACACACACACACACACACACTACTATATATAAAATAGATAATGAATAAGGACCTACTGTATAGCACAGGGAGCTCTACTCAATACTCTGTAATGGCCTATATGGGAAAAGAATCTAAAAAAGAGTTGGATACATGTATATGTATAACAGATTCACTTTGCTGTACACCTGAAACTAATACAACATTGTAAATCAACTATTCACCAATAAAAAAAATTTTTTTAAATGAGAAGAAAACCGTGAGGGGCCGCAGGGGAGATGGCATGGCTATTCTGAACTGGTATGTTTGTGTGTGAGGGGTGTGAGATGTCTAGTTGGCTTTAGCCTGGGGCAGAAGGTGGCCTGTGCAATGGTTGAACAAAATAAGGAAGGAGTTGGTGGAATTACTGCCCACTCAATGCCTTGGAACCTGCCTGCGCACCTGCTGTGAGTCAGCGAGCTAAACTCGGGAGGGAGTGCTTCCGGTGAGTGCAGAAGCCCTGAGGAGGTAAGAACACTCAGTGGGGACTGACTAGGTAGGCTTGAGAAGATGCTTTTTCACATTTCCTTTTCCAATCCCCCAGGGCAGGTGGTTTACAATTTAAGGAGTGTCTCCCTCTAAAGCTGCTTCTTCTTGGGGTGCTAAGGATAAAGATCTATGATCCTCAGAGTGAGGAATGATTAACTCATGTATTCCTGGAGGGAGCGGGGAGGGAAGAGAGGTGCTCTCCACCGTAGAGTCCACTTCCCCTACATTCCACTTAAGCTGATAGGGCTGACACAGACTAAGGTCCGACCTCTAGCAATCTTAGACAGAGCAGCCATAACCCGGAGGGGTAACCAGTCATTTGGGGATCAAAACTATTAAAAAAACCCCGGAATTACAGGTTTTTTCAGAAGCACAGATATTAGAAAAGATGGACCAAGAATTTAAAATAAACGTAATACACATACTAAAATAAATAAGGGATAAGCAATATGAAACAGGAAAAAACACAATAAAAAGAATGAAATAGAAATATTAAATATCAAATGTAAAAACAATGTTGAAATAGAGAACACAGATGGGATAAACAGTGGAATGAACATAGCTGAGAACAAATTATTAAACTGGAAGATCAGACTGAGAAACTCTAGAGGAATAAAAAAGAAAACAATAAATAGGAACTATAAAGAAAAGTTAAGAGATATGAAGATAGAAAGAAAATTACTAATATCCAGATAAGAAGAGACCAGATAAGAAAGAGAGAAAATGAAAATAAAGTAAGAACTATTTGAACCAGAGATAACTGTCTCAGAATTAAATAAAGATGAAAGACCTCCCACTGGAAAGTCTCATTGGGTGACAAAGAAGAGAGAGAAGGAAAATCACACTTAAGCATATTAGAGTAAAATTTAAGTCTTTTCAACAATGGTGTTGAAACAACTGGATATCAGTAGGGAAAAGACATTTTTTTTTTAAAACCTCAACCTATACTTCACACCTTATACAAAAATTAAATCAAAATAGATCACAGACCTAAATGGAAAGCATGAAACTATAAAGCTTTTAGGAGAAAATCTACACAACCTTAGGTTAGACAAAGAGTTCTTAGATATGAAACCAAAAGCACGATCCACAAAATAAAAAATTGATAAACTGGACTTCACCAAAATTTAAAACTGTTGCTCTGTTAAGATACTGTTAAAAAGAAAAGACAAGCCACAGACTGGAAGAAAATATATGCAGGTCACCTCTCTGACAAAGGACTTGAATCCAGAATAAATGAAGAATTCTCAAAACTCAATGGTAAAAAACAACCTAATTAGAAAATGCACAAAAAATATGAATATATATATTTAACCAAAGAGAAGTTATGATGGCACAAATAAGCACATAAAAAGATGTTCAATATCATTAGTCATTTGGGAAACACAAATTAAAACCACAATGAGATCTCACCAGAAACCTAGTAGAATAACTAAAATTAAAATAGTGGTAATACCAAAAGTGGGTGAGGATGCAGAGAAACTGGATCTCTCTCTCATACACTGCTGGTGGATGTAAGACAGTACAGCCACACTGGAAAACCATTTGACAGTTTCTTAAAAAACTTAGTATGCACTTACCATGCAATCCAGCAAGCGCACTCTTGGACATTTATCCCAGATATATGAAAACTTCACATACAAAAACCTGTACACAGATGTTCACAGCAGCTTTATTCATAAACAGCCCCAAACTGGAAACACTCAACTATCCTTCAGTGGGTGAATGGCTGAATAAACTCTGGTACATCTATACTATGGGATGCTACTTAACAATAAAAAGGCATGAATTATTGATTCATGCAACAACCTGAGTGGATCTCAAGAGCATTATGCTGAGCGAAAAAAAAAATCTATTTCAAAAAGTTACGTATAGTCTGAGTCCATTTACACAACATTCTAGAAATAACAAAACAACAGAGATGGAGAAAAGATTAGTGGTTACCCGTATACGGGGTTGGGAGGAGTGGGATGGGGTGAATAGCATGAGGAACTTCTTTTGTGGTGATAGAACAGTTCTGTATCTTGATTTTGGTGCTGGTTATAGGAATCTATACTTAGGATGAAATTACTTACAACACATACATACACAGTGCAGGTTAAAAAAATGAATACTGAATTGAAAATTTGAAAACTGAATAAGGTCTGTAGTCTAGTTAGCATAACAGGCCAACGTTTATTCCCTGATTTTGATATTGTACTACTATAGCTATACAGAAGTCAACACAGGGGAAAGCTGGGTGAAGGGTACATGGGACTCTGTACTGTTTCTGCAACATCCTATAAGTCTATAATTATTTCGCAATAAAAACCTTTTTTAAATGCGTAGAGTAAGATGGACTGTTCAAAAAATTAAACATTGCTTATCCACAAGGGGATAAATAAGACCCCTATATTACACTATATAGTAAAATTCTAGAGGGCATAAAATTTGAACACTGGAAGAAAAAATAAGACACCTTTATTATATTAGGATTAAAAAAAAGAATTTCTTAAATAAGATTTTAAGAAGCATGAACTATAAAGGAAAACTTTAATTTAACCTTATTCTTATTTAAAATTCTGTATAACAGAAGACATCAAAAACAAAGTTAAAAGACAAGCACAGTTTCTTTTAGAACACACGAAGCTGGAAAAAGCAAGAAAACAAATTCTCCCATAGGGCCTCCAGAAAGGAATACAGCCTTGCAGACACCTTGATTCCGGGACAGTGAGACCTGGGTCAGACTTCTAACACACAGAACTCTAAAATACTACATTTGTGTTCATTTAAGGCACTAAGTTTGTGGTAATTTGTTAGAGCAGCCATAGGAAACTACTATAATGACTTACCTCTGTTGATTTCCAAGCATTAATCTTGAGGGGTAGTGTCTCCTGGGACGACACAGTTCTGCTAGGCAACTGAATGTCTTGACACTGCTCTTGTTTCAATCCTGCCTTGGAAGTGTTTTCTGTCAACAACATAAAGCTAAGATTTTACTTTGACAGAAAATAGTAATGTTTTCACATTAGCTCACAATTTTTAAGTTAATCACTTCTGAAGATCCATTTTGTCTACAAAATATACATCATGTGCCAATGGTTACCTATGAATATTAATCATTTAATATATCCCTCTATCATAACTGACAAGTTCAGACAAATTTTAAAAATACAAATTCAATTCTAGCCCTTTCTCCCATCAATGATTCAATTTTAAGTTTTATTATTTGAAACATTTTTTAAAATAAAGTATAATATAGTGTAGAAAATAGAGCTTGAAAATGAAAACTACTCAAATGAAATTTTAGCAAAGCAGGA